GAAAATTCAACTACTAGTCTCCTTATCACCTCAGACGAAATAGGGTGAATACACATATATATGACTCACTGGTAGTCTCGAAAATCTGCTTGCAAACTAAACGGAATAACTTAGTCACCCTAGGTTCCTTAAGGCAGTTTAGGGGCTGATAGTGAAGGTTTTGCCTCATTTATATGAATAGGCCTGACGGTATAGGTGAATTTCACTTAGCTCTGCATTTCAAAACGATTTTGTCAAGTACCTATTTTCCTTATTGATAATCCCAAAATAACTGTGATTTGGGGGAAACATAGTTTTCCTCGAAAGTCAAATTTGTCCCTTGATCCCCTAGAAAAGTGACAAGGTATAGCCACTTTACGCTCACGACCTGGTTCTTAATCCTGTTTGTTATGCTGATGAGCAATGTTTTTATTAAGAGTAAGAGAGAGTCTTCTATAAAATAAAAGTGCACTTAAGAACACTTATCTGTAGGCTGAAATCACAGGCTTCTAAATCAGTTTTTACAGAGAGGCAATTTCCTTAACCCTCCTTGCCTTAGCCAGATTATGAATATTTTGAATACTAGTTCTAGAATTGTTCGGTATGAGTCTAAAGTGCGTCAAGATATCACTATCCTACAAATTCTCTCGAGATTAATACCTGATTAGGCAGAACAATAATAAAAATATTTTTTAATTTTTATGGGAGTAAATTTTATTATTATCAGAAATTATTCATCCTGGACGATGCTAAACTAAGTGTAATTCAATGGCCCTGGATGATTTAAATTCTTGTTAAAGGATTTTGATAATCTCGAAAATTACACAACTGTTCGTCAAATTCATTTTCTCGGAGCACAGCTTTGACCTTATTAAACACATTTATTGGGTGCCCCTCAACGCCCCCCTCAAACTCTCTTGAACTGCCAAAAACAAAATCCATACAAATAAGATTGCTTAAGCGTTTATCTATTCTGTTGTACAACTTTCAATCCCCTTTATCTTCTTTAGCTTGAAGAAGAAACCTTTTTCTGTATTAATGTCGCAAGAGGATAGCCCCAACCGTTCGACTTCCTTTCCAGCCAGCCCTACAAAATTTCCATCGCCTAGTCTATTAGCCTCTGATCTGTTGGATGGTCAGGCAATTCCAAAAGCTGTGAAGCCGAGTGACGCAATTACAACAAGCTTAACACTGACTGGAATGCCTGTTAATGATGGGAGTACAATTGCCTCCTCTATCATCACAAATGTTGCCATTTCTGGCAGCCTCACATCTGAAGGTCACAGTCTTGGTCTAGATCGTATAGCTGGGCCTACTGGGGATGAAGAGATGGACACATCGAACCACCCATTAGTGGTTCCATCTGCTGGACCTACAGATTCCGTGGACATCATTGATATAAAAGCGAGTCTCCAGACACCACCATGTAGTCAGGTCTCTACTATAGGGCAACCGACACCCGAATCCTCTGGTGCACTGACGATTCAGGCAAGAGGGGAAATAAAATTGACAAATAGGCAGTCTGGCGGAATGGAGCAAGTGATCCCCTTCTCTCCTAAACTTCAGGATCCTTTAATCCCAAGCCTTCCGTTGGACGGGAACATCTTTACAGGAGACCAAACTGCCTGGCCAAAAGACAAACTAACTGAACAGCGGCTAGAAGAAGCTCAGACCCAAAGCCGGCCAGCAGAGACAGTAGAAGCAAAATTTGAGGCAGAATCAAAACTGAGCTTTTTGGAGGCACCGGATATGATGATGAATCGGAATCATTTAAAAGTAGTGATTGAACAGTTGGAAGGAAGCATTATGAAACGTATGGAAGAGGAAGCGAGTAAGTAAACAAGGTAGACTTTGATTTAATCTTATTCGTATGTATGATATTTGTCAAAATATTTGAATGCCTCGAAATACTCTTACCAGGAGGTAATAATTCTTGATTATCAAGGAAAAGCAACTTATTTGATAGGCATCTCAATGAAGTAGATTATTTTTAATCTTTTGCTTGTACTAACATAGAAATCGTACTCTTTACTTTTGTTGTCTAGCTTTTGTGCCGGCTTACTCTACACCGGTATTATAGGCGGTAGTTTGATTATATTAATTGCAATTAAATATGAGGGGCAATTCATTCAATCCTGAGACAAGTGAAAAATCACTTCCAAAGAGCATGGCGTACCCACTGAGGAAGTGATATAATGAGTTGTGACTATTCTTTCATCCTATTATTCATATAGCGTTGGTTTAACCTCGTTGATGCAACTTGATCGTGTTTTCGACGATGGTTGGCATGTGTTCTTAAAGTATCGGACAGTCGATGTTTGGGCCATTTCTCCTTGCCTTGTCCTCGTACCTGTATCGCGTCATAATGCTGTATCATCTTCCCTCATTCCCATTTTATTTGGCTAAATTTACAATCCCTACCCCAGATGTGTGTTTAACGAGGTGTAATCACCTTCGCCACCAGCTTCACATTACATTAGCAGGTCTTTCTGTTCTACGCTGCTATCTTTACTCAACATTCAGCTTTATCAGACTCCTATAAGCCTTTTCGTATAAAACTGGATAACTAGAAGCCCTCGATCTTGGATCCATCTTACTTGAAGACTATTTCACATGACGAGCCTCGAATGTATGAAAGGACATGTATTATGGCCTCACAATTTTGATGTCTCATTCATCCTCTTATCCCACCTCTTCCCCATTATGCCATATTCTCTGGTACCCTTGCTGTTGGTTTTCTTAGAACACCCCTCACTTGTCATCATATGTGTCAGGTAAAACACTTTTCTTGCTCTCCTGCTTAACCATTAGTTCCAATTTACTCACTTTGAAGTGTGTATATCGGGTAATAAATCCCACCATTAGACATAGCATCATTAACTACCTCCATCAATAAGTCTATGTATTTTTAAAGGAACTACTATTTTCTAACTTTTGGCAGCTAGTTTCTTGGTTTGATTCCTCTCATAAAAATCGTCTTCTCTTAGATTCGCTGACGGCGTCAGGAGGTCCTACTGTAGGGATGTAAAACAGTTGGAAAAATTGCCTCCACCTCATCAAACATAGATTTATGGTATATTAGATAAAATGAGGGAGCACCAGAGTATATATAGGAAAATTTGTCATATGATGTGGGAAGGGGGGGTGAACATACAACTTTATGAGCCGGAACAGGTACTAGAAGAGTTGTAACTCATTGCTTAGAATGCCGTTTCGCAAAGTTGATATTGACTATGACGATGAAAGAATAATGTCTGGAAATGTAAATAGTCCGCGCTTCGATGCTATAAGAAGACTTGATAACATTGGAAGTTGAAAGGGGTACAGAGTAATTTAATCAAAGTCATCCTGACAACACGTCTATGTCATGAAAATGAAGTCATAACAACTTGATATCTTGAATGTATACTGCGACCAAACTAAAGGTTGTATCATTTAAGTTTATAGTTGACAAAAGCACTCAACGATCTATTTCTGAGACATATAATAAGCCCAATATTATAAAAGTTGGTTGACCTCGTTGTCGCAACTTTGTCTTGTGTTCAGGGAGACTATGTAGGACGCACTGAGTCCGAAGTCGTCTGCCATAGTAGTTGTCATGATTCACAGCATCAGACAGTGGACTTGATACATTCTCAAACGTTTCGCTGGCATCGTAGTCGGCATCATCAGTGAGCCTTGCCATTCTCCGCACCAAGATACGAACTCGTCAAAGAGGCAAGTGAAGTCAATCCGTCGACAACCGTTTTGCTGGAAATGGTTACAGTATCACCCCTCTTTCTGTCCTGGCTTCTAGGACCTTGAGAAATAGCGCCAGGAGTGAAATGCACACAGGGACTGGACCCGAGTGAAATCGGTCAACC